GAGAGTGAGAGTGGTTTACTTGCAGGGGTACAGGCAGGGGTTGTCACGAGCATTGGCCCAGGATCTGGTTCGACATTTTGGGCACACGTTGGTTGGACTTCGGCAAGGGACTACTTTGAACTTTGCTATTGCGATCTTAGTCTTCTCCCTTGCCTCCATCTTCGTCCTTCCTTCCCCCCTCCATCTCTCATCCGTGGTATCTCCCCATGTGCGTGTATGCAGGAGGGACCTTCGTCTATGTATGCGGTCCCTTCCCTCCCTCTCACATGTGTGATGTATGATTGGATGTCGTAACAGTCCAGGTCAGGTCAGGACTTATCTCCAAGTCTTCCGCTGTGCTATTAAATTCCATTGTTCATGTATCAGGATGTACACTGTCTGTTGATATTACGTTAGCAGTCCATTGTCCATTCAGTCCTTTTCATCACAATGCGGATCCTTGGCTGAACTCTCAGTGCCCGACTGGGCATGTAACAGTCTCTCTCCTCTATCTATCTATCTATCTATCTATCTGGGGAGAGACAAGAAGGATAGCTCAAAATACCTTCCAATACTCTTCCCAACAAAGTCCAAGGGGAGGAAGAAGAGGGAAGAAGAAGAGGGAAGCAAAAGATGGAAGAAGAAGAGGAAGAAGAAGAAGAGGGAAGAAGAAGAAAAAAAAGAAAAAGAAAGAAAAACAAGAAGAAGAAAGAAGAAGAAGAAAAAAAGAAAAATAAAAGAAGAGGAAGAAGAGGAAGAAGAAGAAGAAGAAGAAGAAGAAGAAGAACTCTCCTCTCTCTCTTCCCTGATGATGATGCCCCAACTGATGCAGGTCGCTCAAGAATGCCGGTCCCGAACCGAAATTAAGTCCAAGCGATGGCACTCAGGTAAGTCTCTCACTCTCTCTCCTCGGTATGGCCACCTCCAGCCACTCCTCTTGAGGCCACTCTCCTACTCTAATGCTGCTACTCTAACGCAGCTCGCCCAAGCTGGCGCTGTAGTCCAGCAGGGTGACGCTCAACTGGTGGTCCAAAACACAGTCCTCAAACTGGACTGGCCCAGCTATACTCCACTGGGCTGGGCCTCGATGGTCTGCCCTCGGTAAGCAATCAGGACCATTCTATCTAGAGTCTGATCGATGGTCTTGATCGGAGGTGGCCTGACTTGGGCCGCGTGGATGTGGGCTGCCTGGGTCCCTACCGGACATCCAGGTGGCGCTGCTGATGCAGCAGGGCTGGTCCAGAATGGACGGGGACTGGGAAAGGAACTACAGACAAGCGCCTGGTCCAGCCCAAATGCAGACAAAACTGAACCTGGCCTACAACGGCCAAAACTGGAATCCACTGGTCCGAACAGGTACTAGTGACTATTCGGACAAAAGGAAAAGTCCGAAACGGCACCATCTGGAACAGACAAAGTGATGCTCAGCGTCTAAAATCAATCAGTAAATAACTAAATAAATAAATGCTGAAAGAATAGAGAATGAAATTCAATGAATGGGATAAAAATAACTCAAGGTCTGGCCTGGTGGCTCAGTGGTTAGAGCACCGGCTGGAAATGCGCATTGTGGTATGAGGTCGGAGGTTCAAAACTAAGCGGCCTTGCGCACCACCTAAGCGGTTAGGTCCATGACTGTAGCATGCTGGTAGCGGGCTTTGGGGGGAGGACTGTTTGAGTGGTTGGCCTTGGGGGGTCTGACGAGTGTTGAGTGTCTGTGTGTGGGCTGTGTGTTGAGTGTGGTCCGGCGATATCTAGGTCTGTCTCGTTACTTATCATGGGCGGGGATAGATAGGGGGGGTAGGCATGGTAGATAGGGCTTGGATTGGGTAGACAGATAGGTGGGAGGGGGGGATGGGTAGATAGGACTTTGTGTAGGGTCTGTGGGCCTGTTTGCGTGCGCCGCCTCGTTCGTATGGGCTGCTCTGTGGAAGAGACTGAGTGCGTTTGGGTACCACGGTTGTTTCCTGGCCATGGTGCACCCACGAGAGTCCATACCTACATTGTACAATCCTGCATCCCAGGTAGACCCCGCTCTCTGCACACACCCTTGAGTAGTGGTAGTGGTTGGGTGCTAGGCATATACGATTCCCACGGCAGGCTTCAGGTTGATCTCACGATGCTTGTGGGTTGGGCTTCATCCGGGTTGCTACCTGTCTGAGTTCCCACTGAGGGTTCAGTTGGGGCGTGAGTCTGGGGAAGGGTTTCTAGGTAGAAGTGTCATCTTAGGCAGGGAAGGGAGTTGAATATAGAAGAGTGGCTTCGCTACCCATAGAGTCTGCATGATGTGATACAGGTTCACCTAGCTTGTATCCGGGTCGTCCTCGAGGATTCGGGGTGTCCCTAGGGTAGCACCCGGGGTGTCCGTGGCTCCCCTGTCTGAGTTCCCACTGAGGGTTCAGTTGGGGCGTGAGTCTGGGGAAGGGTTTCTAGGCAAGGGTGTCATGTGAGGCAGGGAAGGGAGGGTTGTCGCATTGAATGTAGAAGGGTGGCTTTGCTACCCATAGAGTCTGCATGATGTAATACAGGTTCACCTAGCCTGTATCCGGGTCGTCATCGAGGTTTCTGGGTGTCCCTATGGTAGCACCCGAGGTGTCTGTGGCTCCTCGGAAGGTGCAGGTTGGTGTAGGTCTAGGTCTAGATTGAGAGGTCTGGGTCGCACCGCTATACGGCTCAACTTGCGATAAGATTAGGATATAACAGGTCACGAACGATAACCCCTGGGGAAAGACTGTCCCTGGGGTTGGCACAAGCCATCTGATCCCCTCACTGGTCGAGTACGTCGACAGGCACCTCCCGAGGCCTAGCATCCAACATGGACCTTTATACAAGGAAAAAATAAAATAAAATGGCGGTGGCCCTACAGGTCCCCTAAAATACAGGGACACGCGGCCTGAGGGCAGGGCCGCAGTGCAATAGTCTGCCCATGTAGTCGTCCCCAGCATGCTACACACACACACACACACTGTTACATGCTGTATAGGCCCCAACCTATTTCCCTACAGGGAAACTTCCAGGCTCTGGCCTGGAAGCTTCCTTCTGACAGGGCCTACAGGCCCCAACCTGTTTCCCTACAGGGAAACTTCCAGGCTCTTGCCTGGAAGCTTCCTTCTGACAGGGCCTACAGGCCCCAGCCTGTTTCCCTACAGGGAAACTTCCAGGCTCTTG